ACCTGCCCACTAAGATCCGCCTCCAACAGACCCAGTCTGCCCCAGATCCCCCCAGCCCAGGTAGAAAGGAGCTCCGGGTCCTCACTGACTCCCTCGGTGGCCTTCTAGGTGCGGTGGGCAGGCCCCCTTGGCGGCCAGCTTCCCCAGGCCTCCCAGCATCACGTGGCAGCAGACAGTGGCCAACTAGGATGCTGAGGACTGGCCCAACATGCTTTTATAGCTGCCTCTGGTGCCTCTCTACGCTCTGGGGCAACAAGCCCTTGCTCCAGCCCAGGCTGGACAGGTGAGTCAGAAAGGGCGACAGCAGGCACTGGGGTGGGAGCATCCCCTGACAGCATGAGACTTCTGTAGCCCTGTCCTAGGGACCCCGTGAAGGATAGGGGCAGGGAGCAGGGCTGAGGCTGGACAGGAGACATCTGGACATGCCTCTTGCTTGAGGTAGGGGGCCTGAGTCCCAGCCCCCCTGAGACCAAAGCTTCCCAAGCCTGGGCACTGATATGTACCTGGAGACAAGGCCTAGGATTCCAAGCCTGCTGCTCAAGGTCCCCCATGTGGTCCAGTAAGGGGTTTGGGGGTTCTATGGGCCTGGAGACCTGGGCAGTGCTTTGGGTCACAAACACCAGTGGAGTGAGGGTGACTGTCCTCCCCATTCCTGGAGACCCTGGCTCTGCAGAGCAGTTTGCAGCCTCCATGGGATAGGTGGGGCGTTCAGGGTGGTGCCTTGCCCAAGGCAGAAGGGGGACAGCACTGAGCAGAAGCGTAGTCACCTGGCGCCGCTCAGCTGATGCTCACTCACCCTAGAGGCTCTGTGACGTCAGCGGTGCCCTCCTATCCCCTGGCAGTCCTGGAGGAGTAGACAGAGGCCTCCACCACCACTCAGGGAGATGCTTCTGGCCTCAGCTAGAATCCCCTAGAAAGCAGCTTCCCTGGCTCCTGGCACATCGCATGAGGAGTGGCAAGGCTGCTCCCTAGTCACTCATGATGGACAGAGATGCCTCAAGCCACCTGCCACACGCTGCTTCCCTTAGTCACCAGCCCAACCTGAGCCTCTGTTTCCTCATCTGTAAAATGGGGATAGCGTGCCTTCCTGGCTGTGTCACTAATCATCCCTGAGACAAAGCGTGCCAGCTCCTGGTAAACACCTGTTCCCTCCACTCATCACTGAGGTGCCCTTTGGCAGTGAGCTCTGACCAGCCGGTGAGGTGGGCCAAGGAGGGACTAGGACATGAGGCTGCCTGGAGCCAGAGGGCTGGGGAATGTCACTTCCACTGGCCAGGAGCCAAGGAGAGGTGTTCCCATGCTCCTACTTCTGGGGTGCAGGCCTGGGGCAGGGGTCTGAGGCCCTCTCCCCAGTGCAGGCTCCCGGAGCTGCTCTCCTGGGTGTATTGGGGCCCGATTAGTTTACTGGACTGTGGGCCCTCCCAGCCTGGGACTCGGGAGTCGAGACCCTCTTGCATTCCTGCATGGTGTTTGGGGGCTCCAGGGCTACGGCCAGTCCCCCTAGGGTGGGCAGTGGGTATCGTGGGCAGCAGGACCTCTGGGTCTCAAGGCCACGGCCCCACACATGCCATTGCTGTCTCCTTTGGGCAGGGGCAAATTGGGGCTTAAACAATTTAGAGGGGCCCTCTTTATGAAAGGGAACAATCATATGATTCCTGCACATTTTTCATTGATATACGTATGAACTTCTGGACCCAGACGGGGTTGTGAAAGTGGGCAGCCTGGAGCTCGGACGGGTCCAGATGACCCTGTCCTCCTTTGTAACAGCCAGAGTCCAGGATGTTTTGCTCAGGGCATTGGGCTGGCACTGCAGAGGGTTGGGGGCAGGGGGACCCCTGGGACACGGCTGGTGGGAATTGTGCTAGGAAACCTCAGGGATGCTCCCTGGACCTGTCAAAGCTCCTTCCCTGTTCTTTCTGAGGCTCTGTGTCCCCCACCTCCACATGGGTCCTTTCTATGCCTGTTCCCCTGACAAGTGTCATCTGCCTGCTCTAGAATGGTTTCCAGACCCCACAGACCCCTCCTCGTGAGCTCCCACCCTACGGTACTCTGCACCAGTCCCCTCTATCAGGAGCTCACCAGCCCCAGACAGCCTGTGGTCAGAGCTCAGCCACACAGCAGACCCTGGCCCACTGCCCGGCCCAGAGCCAGGCCCACCACAGCCTCTGGGGACAACTGCCCTTCCCCCCACCCCCTCCACATGGTGCCTGCCCATGAGACCCTGCCCTGCTAATTCAATGCACTGCCTTGGTGTGAGCACTGCGATTCTAATGACAACACCCCATGGCCCTAGACCTCCTGGGCAAGGCTGGGTCCAGACACAGATCCCGAATGCCCGCGGGGGAGAAGACAAGAGGCCTGGGGAGGCCCAGGACCAGACATGGGCCCCAGGCCCTGGTGCCCTCCCATTGGCCTTCCAGCTGCTGCTGCTGTGACCAGATCCCCGTCCACCCAGCCCAGCCCATGGGCCCCAGCAGGCCCTCTGTGCCCCATAGAGGGCAGACCCCTAAGAGTGGGACCCTTTTGTAGCCAAAGAACCTGAGATAGCCCCAAATCCTCCTAACCATGATGGATCCTGGTCTGAGGGGCTGGGCTCAGGTGACTCCTGCAGGGAACTTCACCTGCCTGGATGAGGTCAAGGGTGAATTAGGTGGGGCCTGCCCCCCCCATCGTGAAAGAGGTCCAGCCCACAGTGGGCCCAAGGGGGCTGCCCTTGGACCTAGGGACCCACGTCAGCATATCCTGAGTCAGAAGGTCAAGTCCAGCCTCAGGCAGGGAGAATCTGGCTTTGACAGGAGCAGATACATTCTCAAGGTGGGATTTGCCCAACAAACTAGCTTGGCAAGGGACTAGCTGGCTGAATCACTGAGTCAAGGAGAGCCAGTGTTTCAAATAGCAATTTGCCAACTAAGCAATTACCAATTCTGAAAAATGATTTATTTGAAATACTCAAATACTTAGGCTGTCTCATGTCTGAAGCCTGATGATGCCTTGTGTGATTTAAAGGACAGACGTCACGAATGCCGAGAGTTTTGTGGCAGTCCATCCTGCCGGTGTCTTCTCCCACTTTTGTTCTGTGGATTTGAGCTCACAGTTTGTGCTGTGCCCACCGCCTGCCCCCACTAATGAGACTCCCGGAGACTTGGCTGGTCTGTCACCAGAGGAAGAGGGGCCCGGCAGCGCGCCAGCATCCACCCACCTGTGGTACCAGTCAGGCTCCTGGGGGAAGCCAGAGGACGTATTCGAATGGGTACTTGAGGAAAGGGGCTGTTCACAGAAGTGTGGACAGAGTTAAGGGAACCAATGAGAGATGAGGAATGCCCTGGAGCAGGAAGAAGGGGAGCTGTTCTCTCCCTGGGTCTAGAGGGACAGGAAAGGTGTCCGCAGACCCCAAAGACAGCTGTGGGTGTAGAGGAGGATCATCAGGAGCTGCAGTCATCAGTAGAAAGATGTGGCCATTGCCAAACCAGCAAGGAAGAATCTGAGCGAATAACCACCTCTCCTCTCTCTCTCCCACCTCCTGTGACATCCCCCACTGTCTGAATTCCACTAGGGCCAGAGAGCGAGGCATGCTGGTGATGTAGCCCAAGACGGAGCGGGCAGAGAGGAGCCAGTGGGTATGGAGGCGAAACAGAGAAACAGAGAATTCCAGCTCACTCTGCGGGATGTCTGGGTCTGATAGAAACATGGCAGAAGCTTTATTATTATTATTACTGCTACTATTATTTTGAGATGCTCTTGTTGCCCAGGCTGAAGTGCAGTAGCGTGATCTCAGCTCACTGCCAACTTCTGCCTCCCGGGTTCAAGAGATCCTCCTGCCTCAGCCTCCCAAGTAGCTGGGATTACAGGCACATGCCACAACGCCTTCCTAATTTTTGTATTTTTGGTAGAGAACGGGTTTCACCATGTTGGCCAGGCTGGTCTCGAACTCCTGACCTCAGGTGATCCGCCCGCCTCGGCCTCCCAAAGGGCTGGGATTACAAGTGTGAGCCACTGTGCTAGGCCTGCAGCAGCTTAATTTTACAGTGTCCCTTTTCTCCTTCTGGAAACTATATGGAGCAACAACAAGACTGAGGAGGAGGAAGAGGAGGAGGAAGAAAAAGCCCATCATCGACACACACATCAAACTCAACTTCAGAGAAATTAGGAAGCTGGGAAGCCACGTAAACCCAAAAGCAGGTGACACCAGCAGAACCAACACAGGAAGCCAGGGAAGTGCAGAAGAACAGGGCATGGGGGGCGACCCGGCGGGGGGGGATCTTCACTGTTGCTAGCAACACACACTCCCAGGAGGAGAGGACCCTCAGAGTGAGAACGGAGAGCTGCGGAAGTGAAGAATGAAGGAGTAGGTGCTGCCCGGGGAAGTCCAGGGGTGCAGAATCTGAGAGCATCCCTTCCCAAGAGAGGCGGGAACACTTGGGAAGGCAGGGCTGAGTTCCTGGAGGCTGTATCTGTGAAAGGAGGCTGGCAGTAGAAACTGCCTGAAGCCGAGTGGGTTCTGAGAGGCAGAGGGACAGCGCTACAGAGGTGAGGCTGATGCTTCTGTGCAGGAAGGGCAGGCTCCTGAGGAAGGGAGCCCCGAATGCTCTCCACTAGATTCCCAGGGAGCCCCACTCCCTCCACAGGGACCTCATGCTGACAATGAAATCCCATTCATATTGGAACCTCCGACACACTGCCGTGAATGTGAGGGTTTCGTGACTGATGGGGTAGGTTTCTCTCTTCCAACTCAATAGTATAATTTCCATTTATTCCTCCCCCAGCCTCCCTGAACGTTCACCTCTTAGATAACCACAGTATGGTGATCAGAACAAGGAAATCCACATTCTCATATTTAATTATATTAAAATTATTTCATGAAATAACCAATTTTATTAATTAAATACATTTAAGTAATGTTTAAATATATTTAAATTATTTAATTTAAAATGAACATATTAGCTAAAGTCCTTACTGGAGTTTCACCACTTTTTCCACTAATGTCCTTTTTCTGTTCCCAAATGCAACCCAGGATCACGGGGCATTTACTTATTTCTTAGTCTCTTGCCATTTTGTAGGACTGCAGTGATAGTTCCTCAGTCTTTGCTTATCTTTCCTAACCGTGACACTTTGAACCAGTACTGATCAGTATTTGTCAAATGTTCCTCGATTTGGGTTTGTCTGATGTATTTCCATGATTGGACTGAAGTTATGCACCTTTGGCCATTACAGTACAAAAATGATGTGGAATCCTTCCTCGTGCATTCCATCAGAGTTATGGCACTGATAGTTCTTCTTACTGATGATGTTGAACTTGTTCACTTGGTTCAGGTTTCTGCTTGAACAGGGACCTGGGAGGCAGAGCCTGCAATGAGCCAAGATCACATGATTGCACTCCAGCCTGGGCTACAGAGAGAGACTCCACCTCAAAAAAAAAAAAAAAAGATACACTTTCTGTTATTTGGGTAGTATATTTACTCATACTAGCTCACTAACTAAACACAGCTGCAGATCAGTTCTTATTCCAGCACATTCTTTTTACGACACTTAAGATGACTAAATGTGACATGAAACGGGGAAGATTTAAAAAAAGATGCCTTTGACTTCAGCATGAAACAGATACAAGTGTATGATGAAAATACAATCTCAATAAAAGTGCCACTTACCATAAATGAGTATAACTCTTCATCACATACGCTCAAAGATCCATCTGCATCTCTATAAAATAAGAGTGTGCATTACTTCAAAAACTGTTAATATCTTAGTATAATACCTGTTTAGTAAAATAATGCCTCCTGTGTGCTTTGGTGTTTACCAAAGCAGTTTTTACGAAATCTTCTCCTGGATCCTGACTTGCAGATGGTTTCTTGACTACTTCTTTCTCAGCATTTCATGTCCTGTACTGTGAAGTCTTTTACATGATAACCAGTCAGAAGTGCCCATAAGTATTGACTCTCTCTAGCAGGCGATGGCAATAAACCAAATATATTTTCACTCTTCTAACCACACACTGAAACACAAGAATGTTTTACAAAGCAGTAGTGATGAACTTTAATAAATGTAAACGTGATTCAGATTTTCTAGCTTCCTTTCTCTTTAGTTCTCTGTAGTATAGTCTCATGATGTATTTATGTATTTTCTGTTGTTTGAATTAAAAACTCATCTGCCCCAGTCTTTGATGAACTTTAAACTTTGTAAAAACTAATGCATTGTGCCTGTGTGATAAAACAGTGGTTCTCCAAATGTGCTCTGTGGACCTCTCAGGATCCCCAAGACCCTTTCCAGAAGAGGCCAACGGTTTTTTTTTTTTTTTTTTTTTGAGACCTAGTTTCACTCTTGTTGCCCAGGCCAGAGTGCAATGGCGCGATCTCGGCTCACGGCAACATCTGCCTCCCAGGTTCAAGTGATTCTCCTACCTCAGCCTCCCGAGTATCAGGGATTACAGGTGCCCGCCACCACGCCTGGCTAATTTTTATAGTTTTAGTAGAGATGTGGTTTCACCATGTTGGCCAGGCTGGTATTGAACTCCTGACCTCAGGTGATCTGCTCACCTCAGACTTTCAAAGTGCTGGGATTACAGGCCTGAGCCACTGTGCCTGGTCAACACTGTTCTGAATCATATGAATTAAAACTGAGAAAGCTGATTAAAAAATTTAAAAATTTGTAAAAGTAATACAACGTCATTGCCTGCTTTTTCGTTGACACTTGTCATGATTGTATAAAAGTAAAAATGGGTAAAACTGCTGGTTTCTCAGCATAAATCAAGGCAGTGGTACCAATTACATCAGTCATTATTCTTTACTGTCCCCTGCAGTTAAAAAAGATAGCCTGAATTACTTAAGAATGTCTTTGATGAAGCAGTAAAAATTAATGTTACTAAATCTTGACATGTCTCCTTAATATTCTGAATAAGTGAAAAGTTAATAAGAAGCACTTCTGCTGACTGCAGTACGGTTGTTGTTGTTGGTGGTGATGTTGTTTTAAAAAAAAAGGAATTCGGGATTTAATTGTGAACTGAACAACCAATTTTTTCACAGAACTTCGTTTTTATTTAAAAGTAAAACTGGGCCAGCGCAGTGGCTCATGCCTGTAAAATCCCAGCACTTTGGGAGGCCAAAGCTGGCAGATGGCTTGAGCTCCTTCAGCAGTTCAAGACCAGCCTAGGCAACATAAAAAAAACCCTGTCTCTACCAAAAATACAAGAAAATTAGCCTGGCGTGGTGCCACACATCTGTGGTCCCAGCTACACAGGAGTCTGAGGTGAGAGGATTGCTGGAGCTGAGATCATACCAAAGCACTCCAGCCAAGTGACAGAGTGAGACTCAGTCTAAAAAAAAGAAGTACAACTATCATTCTCAAAAATAAATGGAGAGGTTGTCCCTTCAAGGAAAATAAGTATTTGTTCCCAACGATAAAATGTAAGCTTTCCTGAGGACTTTGAAAAACTTCTTCCTGCTACTAGGCTTGACAGCTTTTCAATACTTAAAGGTGTTTTAAAGTAAGATTGGTGGTTAAATTAAAAGTGATTTTTGACATAATAAAACATAAACCAATATATTCCAAGTAACTAATGCATAACATTAGAAATGCAAGTATGGGAGGAAAGATCCATTTACTGTGCAAGAAAGATCAAGGAGTACTGATGGAATAAATTTATTAACATGGAAAATGCCACTGTAACTAATTTAAGAAACTAGCACTTGTGAAGTTTTGATTTAGTATTAAAGAATACCCACAACTGTCTGAAAACTTTAAAAATACACCTTTTACCAAGTACATATTTGCATGAGGTTAGGTCATCTTACTGATTCTTTTTTTTCTTTTTTTGAGACGGAGTCCCTCTGTCACTCAGCCTGGAGTTCAATGGCGAGATCTCGGCTCACTGCAACCTCCGCCTCCCAGGTTCAAGTGATTCTCCGGTCTCAGCATCCCAGTAGCTGGGACTACAGGCAAGCACCACCATGCCCAGTCATTTTTTGTACTTTCAGTAGAGGCGGGTTTCACCATGTTAGTGGGGCTGCTCTCAAACTCCTGACCTCAAGTGATCCACCCACCTTGGCCTCCCAAAGTGCTGAGATTACAGGTGTGAACCACTGCACCCGGCCATCTTATTGCTTTTTTTTTTTTTGAGACGGAGTCTTGCTATCACCCAGGCTGGAGTGCAGTGACGTGATCTCAGCTCACTGCAACCTCCACCTCCCAGGTTCAAGTTGTTCTCCTGCCTCAGCCTCCAGAATAGCTGGGACTACAGTGCGTGCCACCACGCCTGGCTACGTTTTTGTATTTTTAGTAGAGACGGCGTTTCTCCATGTTACCCAGGATGGCCTCGATCTCCTGACCTTGTGATCTGCCCGCTTCAGCCTCCTAAAGTGCTGGGATTACAGGAGTGAGCCACTGCGCCCAGCCTCTTATTGCTTTTTAAAAGCAAGTTAGAAAGAAAGATCTAGAGAATCCAGTTGTCTCCTATTAAGCTCAACATGAGAGACTTTAAATAATATAAATACATGACACACTTTTTACTCAACTTTTTATTGTAGAAAAGTTATTTTTCAGTGAAAAATTTCTGTTAAAAATATTGTTCCCAAGGAATATTTTCTGGTATTACAACCTGGGTCAGGGTTACTAATGACATCTAGTTGGTAGAGGCCATGAAAGCTGCTAAACTCTCTGCAATGCACGGGACAGTCCTCACAACAAAGCGTTATCTAGCTCATAATATCAACAGTGGTAAGGCTGTGAAATCTAAACTAAAAATAGATTTTGAAAAAAAATCTCAGTATTCTATTTCTACCACAGTCAATATTAATATAATCAACATAAACACATACTCTTTGAGATGCTCAATCATTTAAGAATTAAGAGTCTTAAGGAACAAAGAAAACACAAATAATTTGCTTCGATATTTTAGCAGGCACAATACAGCTTACGATGTCTACAGCTATGACCTAACACTGAGCTTGATATCTTGCAAAGTAATTAGCCAGAATAACAAGACAGGTTTCTAAAAAGCTCACCTTTGCGTGATATCATGATGTATCTCCAAGGTCACTCTGTGGAAGGAAAAACAATTCACAACAATAGATGTTATCATTTGTTAGGCCTGAAGACATTTTTTAAAAGGGGGGCAGAGGAAACTCTCCTAGTGGCCCTGAAATTCAAATCTTCTAGTTCAGAACAGCACCATAAGGGCACTTTGTTTTCATTTCTTGTTTTTTCACAAAAATACGAGAACCAAAATGCAAGGCAATATGCTGTAAAGAAGACGTGTTTCTGTTGATGATTATAATATATAAATATAACAGATTTCCCTGTTATATGCTCTTCTACCCACAAAACCTTTTGTCCCATGTGATTTATTTTATGTGTTTATTTATTTTTTGACGCAGAGTCTCACTCTGTTGCTCAGACTGGAGTGCAGTGGTGCGATCCTGGCTCACCACAACCTCCATCTCTGAGGTTCAAGCGATTCTCATGCCTCAGCCTCCCAAGTAGCTGGGACTACAGCTTTGCACCACTATGCCCAGGTAATTTTTTTGTTTTGTTTTTGGGATGGAGTTTCACTCTTGTTGCCCAAGCTTGAGTGTAATGGTGCGATCTTGGCTCACAACAACCTCTGCCTCCCAGATTCCAGCCATTCTCCTGCCTCAGCCTCCCGAGTAGCTGGGATTACAGGCATGAGCCACCACACCCAGCTAATTTTGTAGAATGAGGCTCAAAACAACTGAGAGAAGGCAAATCTCAATTTTAGTTACTAGGTCTATACAATGTTAACACTTTTTGAAAAGCCTGTAACATTAGCATGTAAGATGGATATGTCTATAGTGCTTCAAGTAGTTTTCATCTCTGAAATAATTTTAAAATCACAGAATTTAAAGTTACATGCTGGAAAGGACCAATGACCTTACATGACATTTAATTCAACACTCATTTTACAGATCAGGGAAACAAACCTTAAAACTGACTTGCCCAAGGTCCCACCAAATAGGAGCAGTTTCTCGTCCTAAACTCAAATTAAGCCGTGGCTCTCAAACTTTGCTGCAAGTTAAAATCACCTGAGAAGCTTTAATAACGGCCTCATCTTCAACATGAGACATTTTAATGTAATGAGTGTTGGGAATGACTTTGGGCATCAAGGTTGTTGGTAAAAGTTTCCCAGGTGATTTCGACGTGCAGCAAAGTTTGGAATGATTGAGCTGGGGTGAAAATCAGAATCTTCTGGGATGCCTTTCTTCACATAAAGATGCCTCACATCCATCCCTATTTTCCTAAAAGGCTTCTCATTGCCTAGAGATAGAGGGAAAGTGGAGATGGGAAGATACATGTATTTGCAGATCTGTATTTTGAAAAAAAACCTTGCATGAGTGATCTCAGTGAGTTCCACCTATCCCACTGACAACACTGCACTACTGACTCGTGATAAACATTTTTCAGAATCTTTTCTTGAAGCCAATTTGCCCTATTAATTTGCTCAATAAACCTTTATTTCACCAATAGTTAATATACCTAATAATTATTTCTCAAATTTGCTGGTGGCACATTAAAACTTACTTTACTTTCAAAAGTAGACTTCTAAAAAGTAGCATAATGAGGAAAAAAGCATGAAATTTGTTTGAGCAAGATTAATCTTCAAAGCTACTTTTGAATTGTATGCTAACACATCAAAATCTTTTGAACTCAAAGAAGCCAGGGACTCTAGTCAAAGTAGTTTTGGTGTATGTGTGCTCAAAGATTTCAGAGACTTGGCTGACTACAGACATTTAGTGATTACTCAACAGGTCCCAAAGCTCAGGACTTGAGACAGAGTTTGAGTCCAGTTTTTGCTGAAACACAATTTCATCACAACTATTATTAAAAGGGAGGGAGGATAGTGACATTATTATGAGTGTAAACTTGCCATTTTTAATTGAAGTAAAAGTTACTGACAGTTGAATTAGCTAAAAAGGCTAGTGCATTTGAAACGAAATTGTGTATAAGCTAGGTATGCTATGTTTACAGAATGAAAAGTAAAATTAAAGATAAAGACATTAATATTCTAAATTAGTACTTTCCAAACTGTGTTCTAAAAATCAACACTCATAACCCAAGGAGATGATAATAATGTACACTGGACAGCCGCTAGGAGCTGTTGGTGGTGTTGGTTGTTGTTCCTTTTAAAATAAACTGCATCCTCAGGGTGCTCTCAAAGCGCATCTTTGTGGCACATGAGGTGCTCACGCACAATGGGAGAAATTCAAATGCAGATACACTGTGGTGTCAGAAGAGGAAAAGCTGTTCCTTCTTCCAAGGCTACTGTCCAAAGTAGTACACACTGATTTAGGCCTCTAATGCACTGAACAACTAAGTTTTCATGAAAAACATTCAATAAAGGGAACCTATCCTTCTCATGACCCAAATGAGAATCTGAGAGAATACTTTCCATTCCTTTCAAAACTTGATCAATTCAATGCGTTCAGCACTGTCGTAAGGCATAAAGGCATCAAAAAAATACACTTTTTCTGGGACTGTTTCTTTGCTATCTGATTTTTCCTTCTACCATGACATCTAAGATTAAAAGAGAAATTGATACTTAATATATACTTAATATATAGAATCTGGATATCAATATATAGTTGACTCCAATTTCTTAAACTGATTGCTGGAGAGGACAACCAAATGGCTGAAATAATTTCAGAATAAAGGGATCTATCCCTTGGCAGTATAGTTGTACTCACGATATTATTGTCATTGTAAGATAAGACTGGCTGGCTGTGTTGTCATCAAGGAATATTGTTGAACATGAGCTGTATTGTTGACTGAAACGCACAGTAGATACCTGAAGGGGAAGGGAAGTGTAAGTTAAACTTATCAAACTGTATTTTTTCTTAGTTAAAATGTCAAATGACAAAGGACTAAGATATTTCTTACACTCCATGAACTGCCTGAGTGTGGTATCATGTGCACTCTACAGAGAACCGATTGGAGGCTCTTAACTTCCAGAGACAATGTTTAAGATACGGGTTATAAAATGCTGCCCTTAATATGGTACCTGTCATCAAACCTAACAAGGATTTTATGAATTCCCTTTAAAAATCATGAGAAAAGTTTAAAATAAGATTTCATTGCTTTTTTCTATAGCAATATAAAGCAGCTGAGAATTTCTATTTCTATGATTAATTTACTATGATAAAATGTAATGTATTAAATAATACTGGTACAAGAGCATTTTATTGCAGTGACTACAAGACTAATGCATTTACTAAATTACTCATCCTAAATGTATTATTTCAGGCGATATTGTGACAAAACAAGTGTTTCAGATTCAGAGGCTCTGTGTACCAGGGCTGCTAGGCCACCAACAAGTGAGGAAGCCATAGGTTTCTCTAGTCCTATTTTCTTATGTGGAGGATAAAAAGAGTATCACTTAAATATTCTCTCACACCCTGAAAACAGATGACAACTTAAAAAATCTTTCGCTTCATGTTTAAATAAGACTGCCATGACATGCCTCAAACAAGACTCTCAGAGAATACTTTCCATTCATTTCAAAACTTGATCAATTTCATTCTATAAGTCATCTGACCTGCACCTAGTCATTTTCCTGCTCTACTCCTGCTCTCTGCCTAGAATACTTCTTTTCTCTTTCCTTGCTTCAGCAAGCTTGACTCCATCTACCCTCTTGGATCTCTTTGTCAGCAACCACACCAAAAAATGTTTTTTCTACACTAATTAGTTGAATTCACAAGACACTAATTGTTGCAGAGTATTCCCCTCATGAGAAAGTACGCCTCTCCTTAAGAGTACGGGAGGGCCCTTACTCTTCCTACCTCCAGTTACTGAGCATAGAATTTTGAGTAAATCCAAAACTTTGACAAGTGTTTGACAATTCAGTTATAATTTGGAAGATAAGTCTTACTACATTTAATTACAGCAAAAACACTACTAACAGTTTACTGTTTATAGGTATTATTTAAGGTAGTCACAAAATGGAAACAAATAATCTAACGTCAGTCAGCATAAATCAGAGTATGAAATTTTATGATCTTTAACAAGAAATGGAAGGGGTTACTTAGTAGTTTTAAGGTTTCATAACAAAAACTAGAAAATAATCGTACCTAGTAATTTAGTAAGTCAAAACCAAAGCCTTAACATCAAAGGTCCAGGACCCATTGGATGCCGATGCCCAACCACTGACTTCTTCTGCTGTACCTGCTGCCTCTCATTTTAACCCATTAAAAATATTAAAGTTGTTTTCCTTTTAGAGGTCTTCATTTCCTTGGTTAGGTCTATTCCTAATTATTTTATTTTATTTTATTTATTTTATTTTTGCAGCTATCATAAAAGGGGTTGAGTTCTTGGTTGGATTCTAAGGTTGGTCGCTGTTAGGGTATAACAGAGCTACTGATTTGTGTACATGAATTTTGTCTCCTGAAACTTTCCTGAATTCATTTATCAGTTCTAGGAGCTTTTTGGAGGAGTCTTTAGGGTTTCCTAGGTATACAATCATGTCATCAGCAAACAGCAACAGTTTGACTTCCTCTTTACCGACCTGGATGCCTTTTATTGCTTTCTCTCATGTGATTGCTCTGGCTGGGTCTTCCAGTACTATGCTGAATAGAAGTGGTGAGAGTGGGCATCCTTGTCTTGTTCCGGTTCTCAGGGGGAATGCTTTCAACTTTTCCCCATTCAGTATTATGTTGGCTGTGGGTTTGTCATAGATGGCATTTATTACATTGAGGTATGATCCGTGTACACCGATTTTGCTGAGGGTTTTAATTATAAAAGGTTGCTGCATTCTGTCAGATGCTTTTTCTGTGTCTACTGAGATGATCATGTGATTTTTTTTGTTTTTAATTCTGTTTATGTGGTGTATCACATTTATTGACTTGTGTATGTTAATCCATCCCTGCATCCCTGGTATGAAACCCATGTGATCATGGTGGATTATCTTTTCTTTGAGATGGAGTCTTGCTCTGTCACCCAGGCTGCAGTGCAGTGGGGTGATCTTGGCTAACTGCAACCTCTGCCTCCCAGGTTCAACCCACCTCCCAGGTTCAAGTGATTCTCCTGTCTCAGCCTCCTAAGTAGCTGGGATTACAGGCATGCGTCACCATGCCCGGCTAATTTTTGTATTTTTAGTAGAGACAGGGTTTCACCATGTTGGCCAGGCTGGTCTCAAACTTCTGACCTGGGGATCTGCCCACTTCGGCCTCCCAAAGTGCTGGGATTACAGGCGTGAGCCACCGTGCCCGGATGGATTATCTTTTTGATATGCCATTGGGAACTACAAAACATTGCTGAATGAAATCATGGACACAAACAAATGGAAAGACATCCCATGCTCATGAATGGGTAGAATGAATATTGTGAAAATGACCATACTGCCAAAAGCAATCTATAAATTCAATGTAATGTCCATCAAAATACCACCATCCTTCTTCACAGAACTAGAAAAAACAATCCTAAAATTCATATGGGACCAAACAAGAACCCACATAGCCAAAACAAAATTAAGCAAAAACAAATCTGGAGGCATCACATTACTTATTTCAAACTATACTAGAAGGCCATAGTCACCAAAATAGCATGGTAGTGGTACAAAAGTAGGCACATACACCAATGGAACAGAATAGAGAACCCAGAAATAAACTCAAATACCTATAGCCAACTGATTTTCAACAAAGCCAACTAAAACACAAGGTGAAGAAAGTAAACCTTATTCAACAAATGGTGCTGGGATAATTGGCAAGCCACATGCAGGAGAATGAAACTGGATCCTCAACTCTCACCTCACACAAAAATCAACTCAAGATGGATCAAGGACATACATGTATGACCTGAAATCATAAAAATTCTAGAAGATAACACTGGAAAAACCCGTCTAGACATTGGCTTAGGCAAAGACTTCATGACCAAGAACACAAAAGCAAATGCAACAAAACAAACAGGTGAGACTTAACTAAATAGCTTCTGCACAGGGAAAGGAGTAAACAGACAACCCACAGAGTGGGAGGAAATTTTCCCAGTCTATATATCTGACAAAGGGCTATTATCCAGAATCTATGAGGAACTCAAACATGTTACAACTACAAAAATATGGAACCAGCCCAAATGCCCATCAATCAATGAGTGGATAAAGAAACTGTGATATACATACACATATATTTTTGAGGAATACCACTCAGCCATAATAAGGAATAAATTAATGGCATTCCCAGCAACCTGGATGAAAGTAAAGACTATTATTCCAAGTGAAGTAACTCAGCATGGAAAACCAAACATCATATGTTCTCATCCATATGTGGGAGCTAAGCTATCAGGATGCAAAGCCATAAGAATGATCCGATGGACTTTGAGGACTTGGGGGAAAGGCTGGGAGGAGGGTGAGGTATAAAAGACTACAAACTGGGTTCAGTGGATACCGCTCAGGTGATGGGTGCACCAAAATCTCACAAATCATCATTAAAGAAATTAGTCATGTAACCAAATACCACCTGTTCCCCCAAAACCCAATGGAATAAATAAACAAACAAATAAATAAATAAAGTACAGCATTTTTCTCAGCAAACATAAATTAAAATAAAACAAAGACTAAAGTTCACATTTTTCGCTCTCCTTTTGGGCAGGACAAATTTTAGGTATGTTTTTAAAGAATTAATAACTTTTTTCCTTTTTCTGAGACAGGATCTCCCTTTGTTGCTCAGGCTGGAGTGCAGTGGTGCAATTATAGTTAACTGCAGCCTCAAACTCCTGAGCTCAAGCGATCTTCTGCCTCAGCCTCCTGAGTAGGCAAAACAAAAGGCACATGCCACCAGGCCTGGCTAATCTCTTATTTAACGTTTTTGTAGACATGATGTCTTGCTATGTTGACCAGGCTAAAAATGAACAAATCTTAATTAACTTAAATATTTCTAACACTTTGGGCATTCATGAAACCAGCTCCATCTCTGTTGTGAAGTTAAGGGAAGTATATGGCAGTGGATAAAGTTTGAAAATATTAAACAAAGCCCTATGAGAAAAGTGTAATATGCTTATTATAGATACATTAATTTAAAAAATTCTCTAGATTAATATCATTATACTGAAATTAGACTTTGATTTAAGCACAGGTCCTAAATTTGGATTAAATATAATAGATTGACCACAAATTTATTTTCTCTCCCTCCGGAAGTCTCATTAATCATAAAATAAAGGTTAACACATGACCAGGAGAGAAGGTTGACAGAGATAATTTTTAATAAATGCTGAGATATAAAAAGTAGATAAACGAGTGGTAAATAACATGGAAGCACAACTTTGGTGCCTACAGAAAGTGACTGGAACCGAAGCGAGCCAGTTTGTCTTGCAGAACTAAAGGCAGGTTGTGAACTTACAGGCAAATGGCACTTTGGAAAGTAGGGTAAAATGTAAAACAAAAGCCAGCAAGGTCAGTTGAAAATCTCTAACCAGAGGCCCGAGTCTACCTGTCCTTCCATCTGACAAGAAACTTAGATGTGTGTTCTCTGGATGTATCAAACCTGAGAATTTCTGGCTCATGAAATTATACCATGACTTAAACCTGAGATATAAAGAAAACTGTATACCAAAAATGGAACTCCAACTTCCTTGGCTAACTCTGCTTTGGAAAGCAAGTGGCCATGCTTTTACTTCCCAGGCAGAAAATTGGGAGATCCTTCTCAGAAGAAACGGAAATGTCTCGAATAAAGATCCCCAGATAATACACTGAGGTCCCCCAAATAAAAAGCTAGTTTGGCTTCCAAAACCTCACAGTGAGTGCTATCAGCTAACAGAAGTCCTGCTTCCAAATAAAGCAGGCCAGGGACCACCACACATTGGATGGAAGCCTCCAACAAAAGAGATCAAAACAATAGAAAAAAGGAATTCATGGGAGCAGTCAAAACCAGGAGCAAAACCTGAAAAAAAACTTAAAACACTCTCAAAAATATAAAATTCAACAGAAAGAGTAGAGGATAAAGTCACAGAATATCCCAGAACTAGAATAAAAAAACAAAATAAAAAAATAGAAAGGGAAAAATTAAAAACCAATGCAAGTGTACTGGTCTAAGCAGCCTAGCGTCTGAATAACGAGACTAACAGTAAAAAAGTAACAGAGAAAATTAAAAAAAAAAAATTCTCAAGAAGAGATAGTCTCAGGTTTAGTAGCCTCAATAAAATGAAAAGATCCCCACCAAGCTGTTATTATAAAATTTCAGAACCTCAGAGAGAGAGAAGATCCTAAAAAGCTTCTGCAGATACCTAAAACCTGGTTGTAAATAGTGTATCACACACTGGTAATAGATTCAAGAACAACACTGTAATGACAGCACAACTGCAAAATGTCTTCAGAACCATAAAATCTAGATTCAACCTAGAGGTGTCCTCTCTATCAAAGAGGAGGGATTTTAAGACTGGCCAGCTCTCTAAATATCTCCACCCAGGAAAGTGTGTTAAAGTACAACTAGAGGGGATTACAGGACAGAAGGAAACACAGAATCTAGGACTCAGGCGATCCCACACAAGAGAGCAGTTATGTGAGATCCAAAAAGACTTTAAGGAGATAGCGCAGAAAAGCAGACATCGAGCATATCTAGGGAAAGCCACTCCATACTGAACTAGGATGACAAAAGGCCAAAGAAAGTTGGCTCCCCAACACACACACAAAAGCAACAGATGTGTTTTCACAGATGGAAAGCATCTTTGAAAGGCATGTGATAAATGCTACAACACTTGGGGAAAAACAGCTATTAGAAAATAAGCAAACGGCCGGGCGAGGTGGCAGGTGCCTGTAGTCCCAGCTACTTGGGAGGCTGAGGCAGGAGAATGGTGTAAACCCGGGAGGCGGAGCTTGCAGTGAGCTGAGATCCGGCCACTGCACTCCCGCCTGGGCGACAGAGCAAGACTCCGTCTCAAAAAAAAGAAAAAAGAAAATAAGCAAACGAATATAGTCAGAAAATTAGCTTCACGCTAAAAAATAATGGATGTGAAAGCAAACAGACCACCCAGAGGCTACTTACTATATTTGGATGGATAAACTAACATAGGCTAGGAAAAAAGAAGACCCAGGAGAACTGCAGAAGTGCTCAGATTTCAGAACTGTTTCAGAGACAGGATGAAGGACGTGTAATGCAGAGGCACAGTGAAAACACCTTATGACTTAGCAGTGAATAATGTTTGCAGAGTCAAAATCATGTAAATATTACTGATTTAATGAAAAAGTGTGCGACTATTGGAAGAAACGGAGGGAGGAACATAAGATCATGGTTCAGCGAGGAAGGTATGCTTTCACCTGCTGTGACAGAAAGTCAGTAGACAGTGCTGGCAATTAACTTAGCTCTTCTATTTGTTATTTCATTAAAAATAAGAATAAATGTTTAAGGCAGATCTGTTTTTTTTTGAAACAGAGTTTCACTCTCACCCAGGCTGGAATGCAATGGTGTGATCTCGGCTCACTGCAACCTCCGCCTCCCAGGTTCAAGTGATTTTCCTGCCTCAGCCTCCTGAGTAGCTGAGATTCCAGGCATGAGCCACCACGCCTGGCTAATCTTGTATTTTTAGTAGAGACAGAATTTCACCATGTTGGTCAGGGTTGTCTCGAACTCCTGATGATCCACTCACCTCGGACTCCTAAAAGTGCTGGGATTATAGGCATGAGCCACGACATCCAGCCTTAAGGCAGATATTTTTACCACAACCAGACTATTGAAATTCAACTTAAATATCAGAAATCCTTAAAAGGACACACTAAGCTAAAGACTTTTCTGGATAAATTTAATACTTAGGAAAATAGAAGAGATTTAGAAAACCCACAAAAAAGGGTCCATGCTATTGCCACTGGGTCCACATTGTAATTTAAAGAAATCAAGAGAGACACACTTTTATGTCAAACTATCAATTTCTTAACTATTTGACTGTTTACGTATGTGGTTTGTATAGTTGCTTCTTCTTATTTCTATAACTAAGAATAAAAAAGAAAAACTGGTCACTTCTGATACAAATGCCATAAAATAAAAGTAGTTGTTAACATCTTACTGATTACTCCTATGTAAAATGAGACAAAATTCCATTTAAAAAATTATTTTCAACAATTTATAATTTAAATTATCTGGCACGATTAATTTCATAAAGTTTCTATTACATACAAATGAAAGTTTCTATTTCATACAAATGAAAGTTTCTATTTCATAAAGTTTATATTACATAAAAATGAAAGAATCCTAATGTACAAAAGAAAAGGGCAAAAAATTAGGTCAGATGGAAAATTTAGCTAATAAAAAAGTTTAACTGTTGCGTATATGAGCCATGATCCATTAGTATTCTCTCATTCTGCATTTATACATAGGTTACTTTAATTATCAGAAGCTAAGAGCTAACAGCTCTAAGAACTGCTTCCTGACCAGACACCTATCTCTAGATGCAACAGAATCCCTGTAAGCATCTTGAACCACACTTAGTGGTTACCTACTAAGGACTTGAACCACACTTAGTGGTTACGTATATGTCACTAAAAACAAAACAAAACAAAACATGGATCTTTACACAACTGGAAAGTAATCTATCTTAAATTTTATTTATTTATCTTTTTTTGAGACAGAGTCTCACTCTGTCACCTAGGCTGCAGTGCAGTGGCGGGATCTCAGCTCACTGCAACCTCAGCCTCCTGGGCTCAAGCGATTCTCCAGCCTTAGCCTCCTGACTAGCTGGCACTACAGGCACATGCCACCATGCCTAGCTAATTTTTTTTTTTGTATTTTTAGTAGAGAAGAGGATACACTGCATTAGCCAGGATGGTCTTGATCTCCTAACCTCGTGATCCAACCACCTCAGCCTCCCAAAGAGCTGGGATTACAGGTGTAAGCCACAGAGCCTGGCCTAAATTTTAATTTTAAAATGAATATACAAACATAATTGGACATGGTGTCTGCAGCACAAAAAATCATTTTTTTCTCTCTAAAAAAAGGCCAGAATAATAAAAGCCCCAAGAAGGACTTGGGTCATGCTTTGTTTCCTACACTGTGTCTGCCTTTGATGCTGGAAGGGCCTTGTATGCAAAAGTTCCTACCACTGAAGGGTGAGAGACATGGAATAGCTTTTCTATTCCATGAGAATAGAAAAGCCAATGGCTCTGGAAGGAGCTGGGAAATACAATTCTGATATGTGTTGGATATGTTCCCCCTCCAAACCTCATGTTAACATGTGACCCTTAATGTTGGAGAAAGGGCCTAGTGGGAGGTGTTTGGGTAATGGTGGGGGATTCCCTATGAATGACTTGGTCCCATCCCCATGGTAATAAGCAAATTTTCATTATGGTAGTTTAAAAGAGTGTGGTACCGGCCAGGTGCAGTGGCACAAGCCTAATTCCAGCATTCTGGGAGGCTGAAGTGGGCGGACCACCTGAGGTCAGGAGTTCAAGACCAGCCTGGTCAACGTGGTGAAACTCCGTCTCTACCAAAACTACAAAAATTATCCAGGTGTTGTGGCACCCGCTTATAGTCCCAGCTACTCAGGAGGCTAAGACAGGAGAATTGCTTGAACCTGGGAGGTGGAGGTTGTAGTGAGCCGAGATCACACCACTGCACTCCAGAGTGGGCAATGGAGAGAGACTCCATTTCAAAAAAAATAAATAAAAAGAGTGTGGTACCTTCCCCCTTCCCCTCTCTCCTCCCACTTTCACCGTGTGGAACCACCTGCTTCCCCTTTGCCTTCTATCATGTTTGTAGCCCTCACCAGAAGCAGATGATGAAGCCATGTTTGTACAGCCTGAAGATCTATAAGCCAATTAAACCTCTTTTTGTTATAAATTGCCCAGCCTTAGGTATCTCTTTACAGTAATGTAAAAAATGAGCACAAATTCTAACCAGAAATAACTGATTCAAAATGGACAAAGTCTACTCAAACTATAAAAACAAAGATTTACAAACTCCCATGTTTTACTGTGCTGCATTACTTCACATATTATTATGGAACCCTCACTTGTATTCTTGCTGTTTAAGTCAACTGGAAAACTTGGCTGTGTATGGCTTTTTAGCAAACAAATGAGAATTTAACATAACATTAAGGAAAATAAGCAGGAGTAGGGCATGTTTAAATCTACATTACATCAAATGAAAAGGTTAAAAACTTAAAAGTTTTGAGTAGCATGAACTTGGATGTGGTAAATGAATGCGGTCAGAGGACTGTGTGAGAGGAGGCCCAAATCACAGATTCAATCCCTGATGATAAACACCTGTGTTTTTTTAATTTGTTTAAATGAAAACCAAGCTGAAGCCTAAGTTCTATCATTCAGCTTTAAAATGTACTCTTTGGAGCAAGGGAAAAGGGACCAAGAATTATGAATAAAGAGAAATCCATGGCTCCTCCATCACATGACAAATTGTGTTGATAAAAAGATGGCAAAATGTATAAACAAAAAGTTTACATGTTTTCACTAAAATGATAACAACTAAAGGAAAGTGTATCACACATTAAAATAGGACAAGTGGATATGTGAAAAGTTGAAAAATTTAAACCAGTATGAGTTTTTCTAAATACTTCCTATAATACACCTAATCAAACAAGAGTTTGTACTGTTTCTCTTGGTGGAAAAAACAACGTTGTCTCACCATCTGTTTGAGAGTTCCTCTGGAATATTGTGCTTGCCTCTGCATTGGCAGAAGGGTTAAACTCCAAAGCTATATGTATAGAGGGAGAAAAGAAAAAAAGAGGTAATCATCTATAAAAATTTATCAATTCATTTATTCAACTACTGCATTTAGGCTATTTCACTACATCTACGTCTATTCTTATCCATTGAAATGAACGTATAGACATAAGATAGAGCCAGGCAAGATGGCATATGCTTGTAGTCCCAGCTACTCAGGAGGCTGAGATGGGAAAATCACTTGAACCCAGGTCAGGAATTTGAGGCCAGCATGAGTAACATAGTGACACCCTCCTTTATTTAAAAAAAAAAAAATGAAGAGGTAAATGTCGGCTTTGAGTTGTGTAAAATCAACTTTGCACAAAATAAATAAAGATGTCAGTAAGTTTTAAAAGACAGGTCTATTTTATAGGCAAAATATAAGATGTATTCTAGAGTTTTTTTTTTAATTTTTAGAAGTAAATTCAGCATATCTGTCACTTTCATGTCATTCTGAGGACACAGAACCTCAGTTTTGTTGAGTAGATGTCCTCCACAGTCATATGATATCTGTAAGTCTTCATTTCTTCATTAGCAATACATAGGGAGAACATAAATAGGCCTTATTTGTATTGGAAATGGCCAAGTGAGACATACATAAACTGTGTTATAATCCTAAAGAATGACAATAAAGAGCCATTTTGGGGCTCTCATCCAACACTACCCATCTACTAACTGGTGTGTAACATCACTCAGAGCCTTTCCTTACATTACCGAACAGAGTATAAGTTTACACAAGTACTTACATGCTTTGTGTATAAAGGTATAATCAATTAATTCACATATTGGTTTATTCTAAAGCACTCCTTAAATATCTTGAAAAGAGAGGACAGTACTTACAAGTTACAAAGTCACACTCATCAGGTGTCATAATTATCCTACCTCTTAAAAAATTAAGAGCCCAACCGAAGTTTAAATAGAAGAGCTATAAGACATTTCCTCTACAGTAATGAAATCTCTGGCATTTAAATGAAAAAAATAAAAGCCAACTGGATTTCACATCTTTATGATGCAATGTTTTCTATTTTGAAAATTTTAGTTTTTATTCAGGAATCATATTATTACCCAGAATTACTTTTACTTAGATTCATCTCTCTGCAAGATTTTAGAGGCAAACCAACTAATTGTTTTATCTTTTCTACCGCCTCCCATCCCCCGCCTCTCCCAGCAATGTAGAGACTTAAAAATCTCCAACTTTCTTCCTTTTTTTTTTTTCTGTGAGACGGGGTCTCGCTCTGTTACCAAGGCTGGAGTGCACTGGCACGATCTCTGCTCACTGCAACCTCTGCCTCCCGGGTTCAAGCAATTCTCCTGCCTCAGCCTCATGAGTAGGTGGAACTACAGGCATGCGCCACCACACCTAACAAATTTTTGTATTATTTTAGTAGAGATGGGGTTTCACCATGTTGGCCAGGCTGGTCTCGAACTCCTGACCTCAGGTGATCCGCCCGCCTCGGCCTCCCAAGGTGCTGGGATTGCAGGAGTGAGCCACCATACCCGGCCAAAACTCTAACTTTCTTATCTTTCAACAAGATGCTACTGTCAGAAGGGGAAAGGACAAAGGGGGAGCCACAGCAATGAACACTCTTACAGGGAAGGTCTGACATTTTTAACCTGCAATCTTTACATTACATATTAAAAGTCTACATTGACGTTCTATGTCTTGAAAATTTTGACCATGAACCAATCCCCACCTCTCTTTTAGAATAAGGAGGTAAATAAAGTCTGTTAAGTCACCAGAATAAATCTGGAAACACATTTTGTGTTAAAGTAAGAATTTTAAAGTAATCAGAGCCTCATGGGTAAACTCCTTTGACAAACCCTCCCCCCATCCCCACACAACCATTTTTCTGCAGTCCTGGTGGTGACGTTTCACACCTTTCACAATTATTTTAAGCACCCTCCTTTTTTTTTTTCTTCTCTGTTCAAATTACAGTTAGAAGAAACTAAGCAGCCTCTATCAAGGTGACTTACAGCAGCCCATTAAGAATACCATACAGCCTCTCCCATGGCAACCTCCATTCTGATTTTAAATAAGAAATCCCTGAATATCTGAATACGAACTGTCCTGAGATTTAGCTACTTTAACAAAGGAAACAATTAGGCACTTACCTGGTTCCTTCACTTAGGTACCATGTGGACAGGTACAAAGAAAAAATAAGATGGCTGCTGGAAAGTTGGGATATTTGAGTTTTTATTGAGGAAAGGAAGAGAATGGTCCAAAGAAGCCTCCACAAAGTCCCACAGGATAATACACAGACATACAGACAATGTTGTCTCACCATCTGTTTGACAGTTCCGGTGGCATATTGTGCTTGCCTCTGGATTGGCAGAAGGGTTAAACTCCAAAGCTAAACGTATAGAGGGAGAAAAGAAAAAAAAGATGTAACCATTTATAAAAATTTATCAACTCATTTATTCAACTGCTGCTTATTCAACAAGAAGAGCCATAAATAAATGGTCCCATGGCAGCCTGGGAGAATGAGACAAGAGAGCAAGAACTGGGTGATTGGGAGGGGAGGCAAAAAGAAACTGACTGGACTCGGTGGGGAAAAACTAAGGGGTGGGAATGCAAGGCAGAGCCAGCTCTTGTTCCTGGACAGCCCCGGGAAAGCTGGCTACAGGCAGAAAGGAGCTCGAAGTGGGCGATGCCTCCCAGGGGACCTTGGGGACAGCAGTAGCCAGAGGCAAGCCCAAGGCAGATGGCACCCGTCACCTCCTTACCTTCAGGCATCTCCCGGTCATGGATGTGGTGCATGTGGAGGTCCTCACCAACTTCAACAGTCACCTCAGCAGGCTGCACAGCAGCAGCCATAGGCGCCCCTGCCATCCCATCCCCAGCTCCTGCCATCCTGTTCCCAGCTCCTGCCATCCTGTCCCCAGCTCCTGCCTCATAGATGTCGGACTCAGAGGGGCACACTGACCCCTGCGGCTGGTGAAACTCAGGGCTGTCCTTGGGGCACACACAACAGGTCAGTATGTTCCCCATGGGGCACCTCTACTCCTGTCTGCCACGACCTGTGCCTCTGCTCACAACTTTGGCCACGCACTCCTGCTGCCCTAGGGTGAGGCTATGCTGCACTTGCAGAGATGGTCTTGCCAGCTGCTCGCCTGACTACCTCACAGCCCGGCCCTGGCCCCGGCTGGGGCTGCGGGCCAAGGCCCGTGCCCTGCTGAATCCCCTGAGCTGACTTGTCTGGGAGGGTGAAGACTTGCCGGCTTATTCAATAGGTTGTGAACCCAACAAGCGCTGAGAGACACAACTGCCTGAAGAGAGAACAGACAGAGCTCCTCCTCCTTCTGTAGTCACCTACAGACTGAAGCCCACTGGCCCAGGTGGGAACCCAGGCATGTGGCACACAATGCCCCACCCCACACATCACAATGCCCTCCCCGACAGCTCACAGTGCCCCACCCTGGCTGCCACCCCTCCCCAACAGCTCAGAATGCCCCTGCCTGGGCTGCCCCACCCTGTGGCTTATGATGCTGCTGCTCTCCTGGCCCCTCCTGCAGTGCCAGGTGGACTAAGGTTTTCATTCATCACCAGCTTCCTGAGCTTTTTAGTCCTAAGAAAAGCACAGGGTAGTTCGTTACTTGAAGCCATCTTCCTCTCTGAGTTCTATACAAAGCCTCAGTAGAGTGGGCCATTAGCAACTAAGTTGAACAACTTTTACTTGCTGACTGAATATAGATACACCTGAATTGCTGACTGTTTTTGTAACAAAACATTCATCTCCTGTCTTCCAATGAGTGGTCGTTTTTGTCTACAATTTGACCACAGCAATCCCTGGGGCCCTAGCTTACTCTCAATAAAGAGTTATGGCTGTGTGTCTTGAATGACACCTTAGGACCCATCCTGCCTCCACCTCCTTCTCCATAAAATAGAAACCTAACTTGTCCCTCTAAGCTTTGAAAGGCTAAAACGTACCAACTCTGTTTTCTCCCCGCTATTTCTTCCTTCTATGGCAGGGACTTTCAGATTTTCCTTCTTTTACTAACAAAGCACTAAGCATGATTTTGTCATACAAAATCGAGATCCATAAAGTGGGTTACCACCGTCCTAATTCAATAAAGATGAATACTCGACATGTGGCAAGCAGTGTGCGCCTGACAGTGTCCTCACTATGCTATGCTCATTTAACCCTCAGAAACAGTCTCATTTACGATTTTACAGAAGAAGTGGAGATACAGAAGGTAAGTAACCTCCCCAAGGTCACATGACTGCTAAGGGTGGGGCCACAATTTGATCCCAGGTAGTCTGAATTTCCCAATTCCTCAAGCATGGTTATCAGAAAATATATCAGTTTTCACACTGATATAAAGAAATACCTGAGGTTGGGTAATTTATAAAGGAAAGAGGTTTAATTGACTCACAGTTTCACATGGCTGGGGAGGCCTCAGGAAACTTACAATCATGGCAGAAGGGGAACCAGGTCCGACTAACATGGTGACCGCACAGAGTGTGAATATGTGAAGGAGCAACTGTCAAACATGTATAAAACCATCAGATCTCAGCTGGATACAGTGGCTCACACCCATAACCCTAGCACTTTGGGAGGCCAAGGCAGGTGGATCAACTGAGGTCAGGAGTTCGAGACCAGCCTAGCTAAAGTAGTGAAATCCTATCTCTACTAAAAAGACAAAAATTAGCTGGGTGTGGTGGTGCATGCCTGTATTCCCAGCTACTCAGGAGGTTGAGGCAGGAGAATTGCTGGAACCCAGGAGGCAGAGGCTGCAGTCAGCCAAGATTGTGCCATGGCACTCCAGCCTGGGCAACAGAGCAAGACTCCATCCCAAAAAACAAAACAAAACAAAACCCTATAAGATCTCATGAGGACTCACTGAATATGACAAGAATAGCATCAGGAAAACTACCCCAATGATCTAATCACCTCCCCCCAAGCCCCTCCTTCGACACATGAGGATTATGGGGATTACAGTTCATGATGAGATTTGGGTGGGGACCTGGCCAAACCGTATCAGAAAGTACAGGTAGAAGTCAAGCTTGGACAGGAAGTGGCATTGTAGATTATTATTATATTTTTAGAGGAAGTTTTCTCTTGTTGCCCAATGAAATTGTTTCTCTAATTTCATTTTCAGATCGTGTCTTGCAGATGTATAGAAATAAAATTGATAAATGATTCTGGCCATTAACCTTTTATGCTTCAATCTTGCTGAACATTTTTTTTTTTTTTTTGAGATGGAGTTCACTCTTGTTGCACAGGCTGGAGTGGAATGGTGCAATCTTGGATCGCCGCAACCTCCACCTCCTGGGCTCAAGTGATTCCCCTGCCTCAGCCTCCCAAGTAGCTGGGATTACATGCATGCACCACCATGCCTGGCTAATTTTGTATTTTTAGTAGAGACGGGGTTTCTCCATGTTGGTCAGGCTGGTCTCGAACTCCCAACCTCAGGAGATCCGCCCGCCTCAGCCTCCCAAAGTGCTGGGACTACAGGCATGAGCCACCGTGCCCAGCCAAATTAGTATATTTTTAAAACAACTTTTTTTTTTTTTTTTTTTTTGAGACAAGAGTCTCACTCTGTTGCCCAGGCAGTGGCACAATTCTGGCTCACTGCAATTTCTGCCTCCCGGGTTCAAGTGATTCTCATTCAGGTGCCTAAGCCTCCCAAGTAGCTGGGATTACAGGAGCCTGCCACCATGCTCGGGTAATGTCTATATTAGTAGAGATGGGGTTTCCCCATGTTGGTCAGGCTGATCTCGAACTCCTGACCTCAGGAGATCCACCTGCCTTGGACTCCCAAAGTGCTGGGATTATAGGCATGAGCTACCACTCCCAGACACAACATTTTTTTGATATGAATTTTAAAATGCCTCCCCTTCATTCAACATTTATTAAGTCCCTTCTACATGCCAGACACTGTATGTGTGAAATAGTCCCAACTCTCAATGAGTGTAGGCAGATACACAACAAAGGCTTAAGGAGTTCCGTTTTCTGAGACCACACTGCTGGACAGTATATGAACCTGGGATGCAAACCCACCTCTATTTGACCTCAAATTTGATGCTGGGTGTAGTTTTAATTTTATTGTGGGAATTTCAGTCATTGAACCATAAAAAGGTGAGAAGTCTCTGTCAGATGTGTGTGTAGCGGTCTGTATAATAAGGAAGAACTGAAGGAAGCTACCAGACCAATTAAGAGACTTTACCTAAAGGCAGAGTAATGCTAAGGGCAGTGGCAGTGGCAAAAGGGGAGGAAAAAGTCTGTGATCATTTGGGAGACAGAATAGGAAGTGCTTGGTCACGAGATGTGAAAGAAGAGGGGAAGCAGAGGAAAAACAGACCTGCTCAGGCTCTGCTGGGGAAGACTCGGTAGGTAGTGGTGCCTTCCTCCTGGCAGAGAATGTAGGAAGGGAAATGGGTAAGGAGGAAAAGACAGTTTTTTACTCTCAGTGTCACATTAAAATGGAACTCTCTGATCAAAAGTTGAATATAGGCCGGGTGCGATGCCTCATGCCTGTAATCCCAGCACTTTGGGAGGCCGAGGCGGGTGGATCATCTGAGGTAAGGAGTTGGATACCAGCCCAGCCAACATGGTGAAACCCCATCTCTACTAAAAAAAAAAAATACAAAAATCAGCCGGGCATGGTGGTGGGCGCCTTGGGAGGCTGAGGCAGGAGAATCACTTGAATTTGGGAGTTGAAGGTTGGAATGAGCAGAGATCCACCATTGCACTCCAGCCCAGGTGACAGAGTGAGACTTAATCTAAAAAAAAAAAGAGTTGAATATAAATCTCTGTAGGCTAAGTCCATTTGTGACATCCCAACATGTTTTCAAAAGTAACACACATACTAAATCAAGCCATCAAGAGTAACTGGGGAAATTTCCTAAAATTTACATGCTAAGAATATCACCATTTTTCATTTATTACTTTCACTGAGCAACTTTGAATCTATGGTTACAGCAAATGAGGCATCTTGTGTAAAATAAAGCTAATACATGAAACAAAACATTTAAAATTCTCTTGTTCTCAGAGAATGGAGGAAGTAACTGAAGCCATGGGCGTGGAGGTGATTGCCTTGAGAAGTTGTGTACAGTAAGGAGAAGTGGGAAGAAAGATCTGGAGAATAGGGTGATTTACACGGCATTAAGTGAAGCCTGCAAAAGTGAGCACTGGGAATCAAGAGACCTGCGTATGAATCAGGAATGGCTGCTCCTGTGAGTTGTTAGAAAGGAGATGATGCCTTCTTTTCATTTCTATAACAGCAGCACCTAGCACAGTGCCTGTTCAATAGGTACTCAGCGTGTATTATCCCAACGCACAGAGTCAAATTTTGCCAGGAGGGAAGGAAAACTACAAATCAGCTATGGCAACTTAGTGATTGGGCTTGTGTGTGTGTGTTAGCTGGGTGTCAGGCAGTGGGTAAAGTAGTGAACTGGAGGTGAGAAAACAACGACACAAACTCAAGGCTTCTCTTCCCAAGTATTTGGCTGAGAAGAGAGATGTAGTAGTAGTTAAAGGGAGATACGTGGTAAAGAAAGCCTTTTATTCCAAGATTCAACAAAAGCGTGAGTATACTTCTATGTTAAAGGGAGAGAGCCAACAGAGAAAACCCAGTTTTGAGGTTAGAAGAGAAGGAAGAACGAATGCACAAGGGCCCCAAAAGGCACACGTACATGCAATCTGATCAGAGACAGATTAGCTTTGTACGCCTACAAAAGCAAGAAGGGAGAAAGGACCATGTGACTCTAGGGATATTTCTGGTAGAGGAAAGGTTTAGGAAAAGATCTTTTGATGACCTTTATTTTAACAGACTTTCTTTAAAAAAAAAAATAAATAAACTACTGTGGGAAAAAGGACATTACGTACAGAAAAGTCTACACTTCTTGATACAACGAACTAAAAAAAGTCTGATATACTAAACAAAACCCAAATAATGTCTTCCCTAAAAGTGGGTAACTTGAAAAGCAATTTGAGCAAAAATCAAGGAGTTCAATTATAAATAAGCATATCAACAAAGTGAAAGATGGGTTTAATTTTTCCCACAAAAAGTTAAAAGAAATAACAGCAACTTTAGAGGAACAGGAAAAAATAATTAATAAGAAAATTATATGCAATTGCAAAATGTGTGAATATTTACAAACTCTAACATATAACTACAAAACGGACCAGAAGAATCATTATCATAGGAAACAGGGTCATTTCAAAAATCAGAGCAGGAAGGATGATTCATATTTAATTTAATTCTGTGAAAATATTTAAGTAACTTTTGAGGACAAAAATCAGTGATATGTTGAAATGTGGGAAACCACAGTGGAAGGAAAAAGAATTCAAGAAAGCTCAGTTTCGGTAACTAGTATCTAGTAAAATCTTCAGGATCTAGAGGTTACAATCTGTGTTAATAGTGTCTGAAGACCTAGAAATGTCATTAGATACCATTTTGGATAATTCTTGTAGACTTGAGATGATGTCTATTTAAAGTAACAAAATAGTTCCTATATTTCTGTATTCATTACAGAAAACAATTGGATATGGAAAGGAAACTAGAAAGCTATGCCACAATCTCCAAAGAAAGATTAGGGAAGTTTCAGCTTAAAGCAACAATAATCACAACAAAATTTTACAACCCTTTGTAAGTATATACGAAAAACATACAAAAAGTTTGTAATGGTCTTTTCTTAAGCTAAGAGAACAGAAAAAAATGAGAAAAATTAAAGTATAAAATGAACCTTTGGTTTAGAGGTAAGTAACATTTTATGACAGTCAGGAGATCAGGGTTGCACAGTGTATTATGTGAATGTTGTGACTCATTGGTTTCATCTTGGACATCATAACTTGACATTTTGTAAAAGTGATTTTTCATGAGAATTTTTTCAGGTGCCCTATAAAGTCCTGTCCCATGAGAAGTGAATAATAATCTTCCATATTCTTAAGATATCTTAATGGCATCCTCTACAGTCTTCCATTGTTTAGGTAAACCTGGGAATCATGTTTGGGTATCGTCTCATCCAACTACTTTACCCATCCCCATCATAAGTCAGGAAGGTCTTGGATATTTTCTGCTCTAGCAATTAATTCATCATTAATCCTGGAGTTATTTGCAATTCGTCATTTGTCCTACTTCACTTCCCGTAAGCATGATGAATTTAACCACCATTAACTCCTAAGCCATATTAAATTTGTACATCTGATTTGACTTTGTGAGCAAAAGTTCTATGTATATCCTGTAATTCTTGCCTAGTATGAAACTTACTTGCAGTAGAGATTGTATTTCTGCACTCATGCACCTATGCCACTTGCACTGTTACTGCTGGTCTGGCTTTCCAGGGGTCATGATAACCTCCTGGGTTCTCTGGAAGAGGGACATATTCTTCAGGATGACGTTGTAATATTTTGTTAGCTAAAATCGTCTATCTAAATGGACAGTTCCTAATGTCTTGAGTAATAAATCTGGTACTTTTTATTTTTCTTTGCTCTTCGAGTTGATGTGGCCAATTCCTGAGGTTGGATAATCAGGCCAGTATCAGACTGGTCTTTGCCAGAACTTTTTGCCTAATACATTTCTCTACTGCTTTCTACAGGTCACTGGATGTTAATATGGGTTCTGGAATGCAATTTTAAAAAATGTTTTGGAAATGACTTGCAACATGGTCATTTAATTTTCAAATATAATTTGCAAGTGAAATGCGTAGGACTCCAATAAGGCACAATGACCTAGATCCTGGGTATGATCCCCTCGAAAGAGGCAAATAGTGAATTGAGCAAGCACGCTCATGTCTGCTTACACCAGTCACTTCTGAACTGCTCAATGGCAGGCAGGGGGAATGACCCCTGGTTGGCAGATGCCCACTCACTATGACCCTGGATTGGACATATAGTTACCTTGAGTCAGGCCAGTCATGTGTTGGTGGACTGTTCCTTGGAGATACACTCATTAGTGACTGTTAAGGTTACCTGAGTTATTAGGTGCCTGTAGACTATGCCCAGTGACATGTGCATTAGGCACAAAAGCTCCCTAGCTGTGCGGACACTGACTGAAGCTGTGAGGTTTCACAATGACACGTCAGCCAAATACAGATGCTCAGATTTACCATTTATCAAGGTCTTCACACTATCAATTATGCAATTATCATTCTACACACAGGCAGTGATAAGGGGAGTAAAAAGCCACAGCCATGGCTCGGGAGACCAGTGTACCTCCAGAAGAGTCCAGTGGGTCCGGAAGCCCTTTGGATGCTGGTCAGAGGCTCCTTTTGGGCAGAGATGACAGCAACAGCCAACAGATCTGGAGAAGTCCTTAGAGTTCTTATGGACAAAGCTTCTGAAGGCAACTTACACAAGACCTTGTCTTTGCTGGTTTTATGATTCTCTGCAGATGGGTCTATTCTCATTATCTCAGCCACCTTTCACTTCCTATCAGTTCATTTCAGGTCTCTCATGATCCCAGGCAGCAGTAGTTGTTATCACTTGAGTTCATTCATATATGTTTATCTCTTTGGGGATGGGGGGACAACTTCACTGTGCACTTAATTCTACTGGAGACGAGTGACCGCATTTTAAGACAACAAGATCACAAATTATTATCACATATCATCAGGGCAGACAATAGCTACTACCTGGGGCTGAAAGCAGTTAACTCCATTTATTCTGAAAACATTCTGTCTTGATTATGGTGCCAGTTGCCGCGAGAGACTTCCTTTCCACCACCTGTTTTTCACAAGGTTTGAGTCTGAACTGCTAACAGTCCACTGATTTCTGGGTGAAGGGACTGACTGCACCATCCTATCCTGTCAGAGCACTTGTCCCAGTACTTCCACTTTAAGAGTTTTTCACCTTGTCCAGAACCACAGTCCATTAATCCCCTCATTTTCTCTCTTAAGAGAATAAACAGGCCGGGCATTGTGGCTCACGCCTGTAATCCCAGTACTTTTGGGGGCCGAGGCGGGCAGATCATTTGAGGTCAGGAGTTCAAGACTAGCTTCACCTACATAGCAAAACCTCATCTCTACTAAAAAAAAAAAAAACACACACACACACAGAAAAATTAGCCCAGCGTGGTGGCAGGCACCTGTAATCCCAGCTACTTGGAAGGCTGAGGCAGGAGAATCACTTGAACCCAGGAGGCAGAGGTTGCAGTGAGCCAAGATAGTGCCACAGCACTCCAGCCTGGATGACAGAGCGACACTCTCTCTCAAAAAAATAAATAAATAAATAAATAAAAGAGAATAAACAACACATCTCATGTACACACCCACACCACTTTTACCCCACATACCAAACACAAAAAATTCCAATCTGTCTCCTTCTACCTAAGCAATTTTAGATAGTCACTTTCTCATAATTACCTTAAGCTCCCTGACTTGCTGCTCCTTTCTCTGGCAAAATCTCATTCCTGGATGAGCCCCACTTTGTGTTTCCTCAATGACACCACTCAGCTGAACCAGAAAAAAAATCAAAAAGTGGTCAGAGATATCATCATACATTCAATTTACTTACATAAAAAATTAGCGCTAAATGTTTCCAGAAATCAATAAAAGTTTTGTTTCCCCAATGACATCATTTCTTCAGAAACCCAACATGTATAACCTATCTTTTCTATGTTCTTCTAACGTTTATTCAACTTCTCTCATCTGATATCTTGCAAAATCATTCAAGGAGAAAATATATCCCATTAGGCAAGAGCCGACCATATTCCCATCACCTGAGAAAAGAATATGCACAGGATGCGCCCACCTCCCCTTTCTCTGCTCATCATGTCAGAAAAAGTACCCTTCATTTTGTCACAAGGCAAATCTGAGATAAAAGATTTAGATGGCCTGTAATTCCAGCACTTGGGGAAACCAATGAAGGCAGATTATTTGAGTCTAAGAGTTCAAAAGAAGCCGAAGCAACTTAGGGAAACTGCATCTCTCAAACAAATACAATTAGCCTAGCATAGTGGTGTGGTGGCACGTGCCTGTAGTCCCAGCTACTCAGGGTGGGGAGCACTGAGGTGGGAGGATCACCTGAGCCTGGAAGGTTATGGCCGCAGTGAGCCGTGATCACACCACTGCACTCCAGCCAGGGCAACAGACAGTTTTAAAAGGATCTTCTCTGTTAAAAATAATCAAATAAACAGGTGGCCATGAGGCTGAGATGGCTGCAGTACACTCAGTTCCTCCTTAAACAAACCAAAACTTGACTCAGTGTAAATAAAAAACAGGAAACTTAAGCTTAATCAATCAGAAACCACCAACTAACATCTAACTAGAGACTTTCCACTGTAATGTTGCAAATGAGGCCACTGCTCTATTTCACTCAATCAAGTATTTTCTTTTTCTTCCACATTCACCATATAAAATTCTCCCCCCACCGTCCCTAAGCCTCTCTGTAGGACCTCTGAGCTGCCTGCAGTCTGGGGCTGCCTAGTTTATAAATTTCTGGGTGCTCAAATATATTTTCTAATGTTTCAAAGTATCTCTGGTGTAGGAAGTTGTTCGTGGAGTGACCTGAGAGTGTACAGGAATTGAGGGCATATAAGATATCTGGACTCTGCACCCCATTTTGCTGTATACTCAGAACTACTCTAAAATAATAATATATCTTTAAAAATCTATAACTATCATGTCTCCAATTGGTCGGAGACAGTTCTATTAAAGCTCAGTTCTATTAAAGCCCTGGTTAATAAGCTAGTTCTGACCCAACTGGTAAGAAGAGGCAGGAAAGCCCCAGGCCAGGGGAGTATATTGCACATGCATGTACCAGGAAACTGGAGGAAGCCTGGAGGCCCTTTAGCCTGGTCCTGAGCCTGCTGAAACTGCAGTTACAGGCACAGATGCCTGGGGCACCAATCTGAATCTGCCAACATCCAAGGCCACATGAACACAAATGTGCAGAGTCTCCTCTGCCATTAGTAGCTAAGGATGTTAGACCATCATTGGACTAGGATGGGAGATGAACTGAGAACAAGAGATTCTGTAGGCTTTTGTTGTCTCTTCCCATCCCCAAGCAACAAGTGATGAACACACACACACACAGACACTCACCCCATAGTGACTAACAGGATCTCCCTCCAGGAGGATTAGTGAGGGGGTGGACTAGGGTGTGCTGAAGAACTCCACTTGGGCTCTGCACACCTGGGAAAATGACCATAAAACATCCCATCTTCACTGCTCAGAGGAGGCTAGATCTGCTGTGAGCTAGAAAGCCATGTGGGGGCAGCTGAAGAGTCATCGAGAAAGCTGACAGCCATGTGTTACACAAGCCTCTGGTCTTTGTTCAGACAGCAGGCACTGTGAGATGTGGCTCCTTGGCCCCTTCCAGCCACCACCTTGATTGCATGCTGCAGGAAAAGACACTGAAGCCCAAGAATGGGGTCTTGCTCACCACAGGATGATGGCTCAGTGCAGAGCCGAGCTATGGCCCAGGAGGCAGAAGGTGGGGATGACCCAGGCTGAGCTGGGGGATCCAACTGAACATGCACTTACTAAGAAGCTGTGGGCTGCCGAAATGCCTTGGGACCCCAGTCTGGGTCTAGAACTGCAGTAAAATAGGCCACTGGAAAAAGTTCTTGGGAAGCCAACACACTTTTGCTATCATCCACAAGCAAACCAACCAACCCCCGCCACTTCTAACTCCCTGTGAAAGCCACCTGCCCCTCTGATTGACCACAGCACAATGGTGTCACTCTGTAAGGCACAGGTAGACAAGGCATCCAGCCACGCACACTCCAGGGCCCACACATGTCCAGAATACACTGGTTCTTGTTGAGACTCCACTCTTCCAGCTACAGACAAAAGCTCCCCACTCTCCTCAGCCACTCCCAACAACTGGAGGCCTGAAAACGTTCATGCACGCCGCTATGGTCTAAGCCACTTGTGGCAGTTTTGATTTTCATTTTCCCGGTAATCAGTGATGTTGAGCGCCTTTCCATATGCCTTTTCACCAGCTGGATGTCTTCTTTGGCTAAATGTCTATTCAAATCCATTGCCCATTTACAAATCTGCTTTTTTGGGGGCTTCTTGATGTTTTTCTCTCTGTTTTTTTTTTTTTTCCTATTTATTTATACAAGTTCCTCAGGTATTTTTGATATTTGTTAAAATGATTTTCAATTCTACTGCCCAGTTATAAATCTGCCTCTTTTTTTTTTCCTTTGAGACAGAGTTTCACTCTTGTTGCCCAGGCTGGAGTGCAATGGTGCAATCTCGGCTCACAGTAACCTCCATCTCCCAGGTTCAAGTGATTCTCTTGTCTCAGCCTCCCGAGTAGCTGGGATTACAGGCATGGGCCAACATGCCCTGCTAACTTTTGTATTTTTAGTAGAGGCGGGGTTTCTCCATGTTGGTCAGACTGGTCTCGAACTCCCGGCCTCAGGTGATCTGTCCGCCTCAGCCTCCCAAAGTGTTGGGATTACAGGCGTGAGCCACTGTGCCTGGCCAATTATCCCTTTGTGTGTGTGTGTGTGTGTCGTGTGTGTGTGTGTGTGTGTGTGTGTGGAGGGGGGGTGGGGGAAGAACAGAGTCTCGTTCTTTCTGTCACCCAGGCTGGAGTGCATTGGTGTGATCTCGGCTCACTGCAGCCTCCGCCTCCTAGGTTCCAGCGATTCTCCTGACTCAGCCTCCCAGGTAGCTGAAATTACAGGTGCGTTAACACATGCCCAGCTAATTTTTGGATTTTTAGTAGAGATGGGGATTCACCATCTTGGCCAGGCTGGTCTCAAACTGCTGACCTCAGGTGATCCACCCGCTTTGGCCTCCCAAAGTGTTGGGATTACAGGCAGGAGCCACCACTCCTGGCCCCTTTTTGTGTTTTAACATCAGTCAACACTTGTATTTTAAAATAATAACAATGAACGGCGGTACCTTAGAACAAGGGAATTATACCTCTTCCTCTTATCCTGATCCTAGTGTAGACATTTTGTCTATAAAATGTTATTCACAGATGAATTCATGAGAACATTACTGTGACTTTCAAATCCATATACAAGTCTATGCTCATTGATGAATATTTCAATAAAATTAAACTAATAGCAAAAAAGAATTCCAGGATTGAAGCAGTTTCAGGAAAAAGAAGTTGGCAGTATGAAGTAAAATAGTAAAAAAAACTTTTTTTTAAAAAAAGGGTATATTTTTGTCCACCACTTTTTAAAAATTATAGTATTAGACAATATGTATATATATATACGCATATATACATACACACACACACAGATATAAAGCAATGGAAGTGGCATTGTTTTCATACTAGTCTAGAATATTAAAATATACGTATAATGTGGTCAGCAAAATAATGGCCCCCCAAAGATGTCCACAGATTCCTAGAACCTTACATGAAAACGGTACATCATACATGTGATTAAGGTAAAGACCTTGACATGAGGAGACTACCCTGGTGCTATGGAATGAACGCTGTGTTCCATCAATGTTCATGTGTTAAAATCCTAACCCTCAAGGTGATGGTATTAGGAGGTTAAGCCTTACGGGAGACTCTGCCCTCATGACTGGGATTAGCACCCTTATTAAAGGCACAAGGGAACTCGTTTGTTCCTCTCATCATGTGAAGACACAGCAAGAAGGAGGCCTCCATGAGAAAGCAGACCTTCTCCAGACACCAAAACTGCCGGCACCTTGATCTTGCACTTCTCAGCCTCCAGGACTGTGAGAAACAAAGTTCTGTTGTTTATAAGCTGCCCGGTCTAGTGCATTTCCTCGTAGCAGCCTGTATGGATTAGGACAGTGGGCTCACGTGGATGAGGATGGCGTCTCCATTCAGGACTAAGTAAGCACATGAGTCCTTAACAGTGGAAGAGAAGGGGGAAGGAAAGAGCCACAGAGACATGTGGCCATAGAAGAAGGGCCCATGAGATGCAAGGTTGCTAATGGTGAGAGTGGAGAAGAGCCCAAAGCCAAAAAACGCAGGCAGACTCCAGAATGTGGAAAAGGCGAGAAAAAAAGATCCCCTAGAGCCTCTAGAGATGAAGGTAGCCTTTCCACCACCTAGATTTTAGCCCAGGGACATCCACATCAGACTCTGACATACAGGAGTGTAATAAATTTGTTTTATGCCCTGACATGGTGGTTTGTTGTAGCAGCAATAGACTACACACACACACACACACACAAACACTCCCCCCTACACACACAGAACTACATACATCCTGCCCTTCAAAACTGAAGCAGATAAACTATACATTAGCATTAACTTAGCTGGGTGTGGTGGTGCATGCCTGTAGTCCCAGCTACTCAGGAGGCTGAGAGGGAGGATCACTTGAGCCCAGGAGTTTAAGACCAGCCTGGGCAACACACTGAGGCCACATTTCAAAAACAAACAAAAAACACAACAAATCTTTGATTAAACTCGTTCCCCAAATTTGAAGAGGAGACAATTATTAGATAAAGAGGAGAAAAGAGAAAGGTAGAGCTGCTGACTTCTGTGGTGGAAGCACAGGCACAGGTCC